ATATATATATATATATACATACATATACATATACATATACATATACATATACATTTTCCCTAGTTATAAGTTCCTTGCCTGAACCAGTCCATGCTGGTAACAAAACCTTTCTGGTGACCAGTCACTCTGTACAACAGTCAACGTTTTACCACACTACAAATCAAAATGTTACAAAGGATTCATCTATTCTACACCGACATCCATACACTAATATATGTTTTGTTGCCTGAGGGCTGAACAAAAGAAACTGAACAGATTCCAAAACAGAGGATGGACGAATTTCCCACTGTGGATTTTGTATCATGATAGTGAGTTCCAGCTGTTGTCCACAGGGCACTGTTAGAAGTCCCGCCAAGATACACACTTCTCCACATCATGACGTAGGTGGTTCAGAAAGCTGCACCATCAATTTACACTTTTTGGCAAAGCCTATTGACGGTCTGTATTGTCCACAGGAAGCAGAAATGACACTTCACACATGAGCCACATATGGATTATTGAAGCATTACAATGCCTTTAACTTAACTTACATCAGAATATTTGAAGAGCTCCTGAAGGTTTATCCCCTCCGTATTGAGAATCTGCTCCTTCTCCCCATGCTTGTCGGTGGCTTCATTAAGGAGACATCGAGCTATTCCCTTTGTCTCATGAATAACAACATTGCGTGATAATGTCACCACGAGAGACGAGATATCAAAGTGAACCTTCATTAATGGCAGTTTCACAGTGACCTGCAAGAAGAATACAGCCATAATATATATAAAATAGGATTTTCATGCTCATCGTAATATACTTTTCTTGGAATTCATTTTAGGGACATACAAAGTTATTCACCATTCACCACTGGGTTATAGTGCCGCATACAGGGGGGGTTCCAAACCAGCAAACGTTAAAAAAAAATGTAGGCCTGCCCAGAATAACCCCTACCAGCGTGCTTCAGTCTTGTAGCAAAGCAGCACCAAGAGCAGGATTATTAATACAAGAAAAAGATTTAGATGCACAAAGCAAGTCTTTTCGGACCTCCAAAATCATTCCAGCAGAGGGGTGGACAAGACGGCTAAACAAATACTAACAGTCCCAAGACAACAACAAAAAAAAGCCCAGTACTGTGTATATGGAATAATGCTTGCAAATGGTGACTTAAAAGGTCAGAGCATTTGCCTGACCATGCAGACCAATGAGAAGTGCATCTTAGCAATTAGTGCTTCTCATTGGTCAGCATGGTCAGGTGAACAGTGCTTCTCATTGGTCAGCATGGTTAGGTGAACAGTGCAAGAAGTGATCTCATTGGTCAGCATGGTTAGGTGAACAGTGCAAGAAGTGCTCTCATTGGTCAGCATGGTCAGGTGAAAAGTGCAAGAAGCACTTCTCACTGGTCAGCGTGGTCAGGCGACAGCTGCTCTGGCCAATGAGTGCTCGCCATTTGCAAGCATTATTCAATATACACAGTACCGAGCTGCAAGGCCATGTATGTTGTACGGAATATACCCCGGCTG